CCCCTCCCCACTCACGCGCGCTCTCTCTCTCTCTCTCTCTCTCTCAAAAATAAACATTAAAAAAATGTTCTTTAATAGTTTATTCATTCTGCTATGTTCCTTGAGTTCTTTCTTTGATTAAGAATGCCTGGGTGGCTCAGTCGGTTAAGCGTCCGACTTCGGCTCAGGTCATGATCTCGCGGTCCGTGAGTTGGAGCCCTGCGTTGGGCTCTGTGCTGGCAGCACGGAGCCTGGAGCCTGTTGCAGATTCTGTGTCTCCCTCTCTCTCTGATCCTTCCCCGTTCGTGCTCTGTCTCTCCCTGTCTCAAAAAACAAATAAACGTTAAAAAAAATTAAAAAAAAAAAAAAAAAAGAATGCCTGCTGGTTGTTGGGGCACCTGGGTGACTCAGGTAAGCATCCGACTTCGGCTCAGGTCTTACAGCTCTTGGGTTCGAGCCCTGTGTCGGGCTCTGTGCTGACAGCTCAGAGCCTGGAGCCTGCTTCGGATTCTGTGTCTCCCTCTGTCTCTGCCTCTTCCCTGGTCACACTCTGTGTCTCTCTCTCAAAAATAAATAGACATTAAAAAAGTTTTTTTAAGTCTTTCAAAGAATGTCTGTTGGTTGTTACTATACTTATGACATAGTAGCCGGAATTGAGTTTTTCTTGGTCATACAGTCTTTCTTCCTGGTCTTTGTAGAAATTACAAAATTATTTTTTTACTTTTATTTATATACATATATATTTTTTATGTAATCTCCATGCCCAACGTGGGACTCAAATTAATGACCCAAGATTGAGAGTCACATGCTCCACCGACTGGGCCAGTGGGGCGCCCGTGTTATTTATTTACTTTTAATGGAGTTATAGTCGACACGCAATATTATTTTAGTTTCAGGTGTGTAGCATAGTGATTTGACATTTTAAATGAGAGAGAGAGAGAAAAACGTGTGAGCAGGGGAGGGGCAGAGAGGAGGGAGAGAATCCCAAGCAGGCTCTGCACCATCAGCACAGAGCCTGATGCAGGGCTCGAACCCACGAATGCTGAGATGATGACCTGAGCAGAAGTCCAGAGTCGGACACTCGACCGACTGAGCCACCGGGCGCGTCTGTGTCTGCAAAATGCCTTTGGGACGTTGAATCTGTAAAGATGTCTGAGGCCGCTGCGCGCTTTCTCTTCCCCCTGGGGGATGATCTGCTTTTTCTGCCTGGTCTGCATTTGGGGAGCTGAGTAAGGGCGGCGGGTGCCTCACTGCCGCTGGTGGCCTGCTGGCTGCGGGCTCACGTTCTGGGTGTGGGGTGCCAAAGCTGCTGCAGCCAAGGGGCTGTGTGTCGGACGTCTGGATACCTCTGATTCCTGCGCTGGGCTTTCTCCTCTCAGGCGCCCGATTTCTGCTCTCTCTTACCGTTGGTCCCGCGCTTTGGCTTTTGCCTTTTTCTCCGTGTTCACTGTGCCAGGTGAACACTGGCAGCACGAGGAACACTGCGCCCGTGCTCCCTAACTGTCTCCATCGTCCCTTCTCCCGGCCCTTCTCCCCGCCGTGCTTCCCTCTCTCTCTCTGCCCCCCACCCCCAGCCCTGCTGCCTCCTTGTCCCAGTGGGGAGGCCCGCTCCCGCCTCCGTCCCTTCCCGCTCTGCCGGGAGCCAGGTGCTGCTGCCGCCTTGCAGTCGTGTCCTTGATGCCTGGCGTGGGAGGGGGAGCCGAGCTGGCACAGGTTCACCCTCACGAGGACGCCTGAGTGGGCTCCGTCCTGGAGGACGCCCCGTGTGGTGACCTGGACCTGCCCTATCCACCCAGAGCGTGGCCCGTCCCCACGGCCGTGCCCCCGGTGCCGCAGGGCTGCCTGGGGGAAGGACGCCCCCCTTCTGTACTGGCAGAGGGAGACTCTGGGCCGTTGCTCCCAACTGCAGAGAGCAGCGTGTGCGGCCGCCTCCCGACAGAGGAGCGAGGGCCCGCTTTGTGGGCCGAGGCCCCCACTGACAGCAGTCTGGAAGACCGCTCGGAGGAAGGGGAGGCAGAGGTTGTGCGGTGAGGCTCACCGGAACCCAGGCCGTGTCGGGCGCAGCAAAGAGGACGTGGGTGTGAGCACCGTGTCCAGTTTTCGTAGGATGCTGGACTGACCGTAGAGCCGAGGGGCAGACACCGAGAGGGTGAACTCTCTGCTCAGACCGCTGAATAGATGAGGGTCCGGGGACGAGGAGGTGATGCTGCTGGAGGTTCTGGTTCCCCGGGCGGTTTTCCCAGGCTGGAGTCAGCTCGGAGCTTGCGAGTTCTCGAGAGCCCTCTGGCTGCCACCAGCACGTGGCTGCAGGTCAGAGACATGAAGACATGCCGCTTCGTTCCGGGGGCTCTCGATCTACCCGGCCACCCCTGGGCAGCGTCTGGGGACATTTATGTAGGGCGGAGGCCAGGGGTGATGGTGCTGCCGGACCACCTACGGGGCACAACACGAGTTATCCGACCCAAAGCGTCAGTGACACCAGGGGACCCTGCTGCGGTGGTGTGTCCATTGAGTATGGTGACGAGCGTGTGGCCTTTCTCCCCCTCACCCGGCTCTGTCTGGGAGCCGCGTTCCCGAGGTTTTGTTTGCTTTGGTCAAAGCCTCTGTGTACGGATGTAAGCACCCCCAAGCATGTGCGTGCGCTCGCTGTTTGTGCCCACAGATCCCTGCAGTTGCCATGATGTGATAACTCACACTTGCCCCTGGGATATCACTCATTAAGGGCAGAGACCGAAGCGCGTGTGCCAGACAAGACGCAGGTGGCGTTCAGGGCCTCGATCGACGGTTGTTTCAGGTGTGTTTCGTCCTCTGTGTGGCGCTTGGCACCGGGGGACAACTGGACACTTCTTCATCTAGAATTTTCAGTGCTGTTTGCCAAAATAATTAGTCCTCAGACTGAGGAGCGAATGCTCAAAGGCCCCCACTGTAAAGGTAAAATTACTAAGAAAATAAGACAGTAGAGGATGAGCCTGCGTTATTGTAAACTACCTATATTCCCGATGGCGTGTGAACTCTGAGGACCCTAAAACCTAAGACGTAGGCCTTACCGCTGAGGGGTTTGTCTTCCAGACCAAAGGATAGTATGATGTTTATAAAACAACATGCACATTCATTCGTTCCCGAGGAGGGAGGAAAACGAAGGGAAGATAGCCCGGCCGTGTCCGCCGTATGAATGCAGAGTGCGCATCCCCAGGGGGCTTTGTCGGCGTCTCCCAGTGTGACCTCCGGCCGCACGCACACTGCCCGCCGCCTGCACACCGTGACCGCCAGCCGCCCGCTGTCGCTGGACCAGCCACGTACTTTGACCGCCAGCCGCGCACCGTCGCTGGACCAGCCGCCGGGAGGGCTGTGAGCGGCTCACCTCAGTGAGGTCAGCGCTCCGCCTCGGCGGTAGGTTTGCGGAGATGGGAAGGGGCTTTGCCCCGAGTCACCTTGAAAAGGTGGACATGACGCTGTGAGGGGTTGT